CTTCAGAAATGAACCACCTGTGTCAAATATATCACGTACTGTAGGTGTCGTTTCAAGAGGTTTGCAAAAAAGAAACTCATTTTTAAAGTCGCCATCATTAATATACCTCACGTAAACCAGTAACTAAACAGTTTGCAACATCTGTAGATTCATCGAGCTGGATGCTAAACATTGGAAGTGGAGCAGATTTAATTTTCTGGGTTACCTGATTAAGAATAGCAGCAGACATGTCATCTATTCTCCTGTGGACAGTATCATTAGATAAGGAAATTGCACTCAATTTCATAACAAATTTGTCTCCAATCATAACTCGAACAATGTCTTTGGCCCCTCGCAACAGTAAATTCTCAGCAATGGTGTGAGGTTTCATAGCTCAGGTGATTCTGAGTGCCACCAAATATGAAGCTTCAACAGCTGCTACATTTTGTTGGTGGTACTTGCCACCAGTATCAAGTCTAGCTTTCTTGAGTCCATCATCTTTGTTTCTAAAACAGTTGGTATCCTTGCCGGCAAAGCTCAGATGCTTGCTATCAAAATGTTCTGCTTCATAGATTTGGCTGTTAGAACTTCACAACAAATAACACATTGCAGTTTCTCCATTCTGCTATAACAATTGAGGTAAAACCAAACTGTAAAACATATGGTTTTATACTCCTCACTATATTTTCTTTTCTTAACATTCTTCTCTACTTGATCTGTTGTCATGGGATGGTTCACTAATGAAAATAATATATAACAATAGCTTTAATGATACAAAAAATGATACATGGCATAGTTCAGTCAATACAGTTCATTAAAGTTTCCTATGATTTATCATACTCTGTTGCTGTTTTTTTTACATACCTGTTACAATCACAAGAGGGCAGTATTCACATCAACCACAGCTGAATATAAAAACACTGGTCAGCATCCAGATTAAGTTCCCATGGTACAGATATATATATATTTGCAGTAGTTGGTGTTTTTCAATGCATGATATTGCATTTACCCAGTTATTATATTAATGAAGTGTTATTTTACCCCCAATACTGCTGCTTTCAACATAGTAGCTCCTTTTAACAGAGTAGCTGCTTTCAAAATGGCAGCTGCTCTCTACGAACATATGAGAATTGGTCCCCATAAGTACGTTATGGCACCAACCCTGTCACATACACCTGTATTTGTACCAGGTGTATGTTAGGGGGTTGGCTCGATGATGTCATCACTCTAGGTACTAGTATGTGGGTGTATCTGCATGTGGGTGGACCAATGAGTGGTGTCTTGGTTCCTAAAACCACTGGAAATATGTTTTCTTATGGTCTTAGGTGACCACTGGTAAGGGTTGTTCGACTGCAAAAGGGGTCATCATGACTCACAGTTTGAGAACTGCTGCTATATAGGGTTTCTGAGGCAGCAACTCTTTAAGAGAGCAGACAGCCTCATCTTTCTCCCATCTAGAAGCTGGTGAGTCTGAACTGCCTACCTTGCAATCTTGCAGTTAACAATCCAAAGCTTACTCAGTACAACCACCAAGGTCACAAAATTTGCATTCGCGATGGAATGATTTCCACAAAGGAAGTGGTATAGAGCAAAAGGAAGAAAAGGAAGGAAGGTAGGAAGGAAATGACAATACTGCAGCTGTCCACTCAGATATATAGAAGTTATCTTGGCAGAAAATACAGTTTAAAGTTAATCCAGGAATAGAATACGAAATAGGACTCAAAGGCAGAAGTAAGCACGGTAGGTTTAGGAGACTGAGAATATATTTGATATGATTTGATCTCTTTTTATTTGCTCTAATATAAATTAAATCAAGACTTTAAAAAATAAGCAAATGTATTTCTTGCTTTGGCAGGACATACACTAAAATTAGAATGCTATAGAGTAGATTACCATGGTTTCTGCACAAGATTGGCATGCAAACTGTTGAAGTGTTTCATACTTTAAAATCTGGGGTGGAGGGAAGAAAGAAAATATAAACACACCTTACATTAGCTATCAGCATGATATCATCACATGCTATATAGCTTTTGAAATTTCACTGTACACTCAAGGAAAAGAAAAGAGAAGTGAGGTCTGAGGATTCCTGTGAAGAGGATATTGATCTCAGGGGACCAGGAATTCTGGTCTACATGGAGGCAACTGCTGCTGTGTGGATCACGGGATCCCTGTAAGGGGGTCGAGATTTGCATGTGTAAAGTCGGATGATCTAAAAAGAAATGGAATGATGGGAGAGGAAGGGTAGGGTGCAATCGAAATATTGTAAATAATTAGCAAATACATTTTTCTTCATAGAAAATAATTATGAAATGTGGGTTGTGTGAGTGGATGTGAAGGGAGCGTAGGCATGGAAGGGAGCACAAGTGTTTATTTTGATATCATGCATCATGCAGGAATTATAGTATTTAAAAGCTTGTAAATCACTTTTTTATTGTGGAAGATATAGATGTACAAAATGTTTGCTTTTTCAGCATTGCTCACCTGTGCAATTGTTCACACGTCCCATTCATAAACATCAGCATGTGCATTAGGAGTTCAAGGGCTATCACTATGCCTTTCCAGGTTTTCCCACCACCTTTAACAGAATGACTCTCCATTTTACACTCCTTCCAAATGTATGTGTCTCGTAAATGTCTCTGGTCTGTGGGTACAGATGAGCTTTTAGGTGAAGAACAAACACAAGTAGAGAGAACAGTTGCCAGGGCATGACAGTGAGGGCGGGGCTGCCTGGGGAAATGACATAAAGTGAAGAGCCGGCTCAGTTAGAAAAGAAGTGCAGTTGCCTATCTGCGATGGGAGCGAGAGACTGCGTCCTTCCAAGTGAGGAAAAGCTGTCCCATCAGACAACAAGATGGTCAGCAGTTCTGCATCAACTGTTCCTTAAATACAACTCTGGTTCATATTCTGATAAATATGTTATTTTATGCAGCTGCTTTAGCACGAATCCTGACCTCTTTTCTTCATATCCTGCTCCAGAAGCTTGAAACAGCACAATCCCGGGTACTGGTCTCTTTGCCTTTTAAACCTAAAGATCTGTCAGGCATCTGTCATGTAGATGTCACTAAATCATAGCCAAAATGAGGATAATGTGACATAGATGCATATCTCCTTTGCCTTGTCTAACACTTGTACAAAAAGTCTTTATTAATCACCACAGTTTTTACTGAAAGAGTCCATCTGGATTCAAAACCTGAGGAAAATTGGCAATTGGAGTCATGGTGCGTGCGGCTGACTCTGACTGCCTTGTTGGTGTCTGCCTCGGAGAGCTGGCTGCACTTTACAGGGAGCCCTGCTGTGCTCACCACCTCACCAGTGATAGATCGTCTTTCCCCAGGCCAGATGGGGTTCCTGGTAAGTGCCAGGACCTCAGAGGGTGTGCTTTCTCTCCCTTCAAATCCGAGATTATAGGTTCAAGTACACAAGGCTTAGTTAATCCCACGTTCACTGATTCCTTCTAGTTAAAAGATTTGAAAGCCTTAATACTCTTGTTTGCCCCCATAGCTCATTAATAATGACTGAGGTAAATGGTAACGTATACAAAGCTAAAGTTATTAAAATTAACGTCTTTGGTAAATGAAGATTTATCTTAAATCAAAATTTGTTGCCTCTTCAGAAAATAAAGGTAATTGTTCCTTATGTTGTTCTTTGGATATTTTGTGAACCCCAGAAATCTTATAATCACCGTCGAAAACAAGCACCAGTGTCAGTGTCATTTTCCCCGAGTTAATATCTTGATGCCGCATTAGCAGAAGTGCATGAGATGTCAAAGGGGATGCTGGTTCTGTTGCACATTAGGTTTGTTGCATGTAACAGAGTGTTAAATTAAAACCATTCTTAACTATCTCCTTAACAGAAATGCTAAAAACTATTTAGAGTAAAATAATCAAATGGTAACGAGCTTTTATTGCCCATTGAGGGTAGAGTTCTGCATCCCTGGTCAATTCATGAATTGCTAACCAGTCCCGCATCTTGATCAGGCAACTCACAGAAATCAAATTCATTGTCTTTGGTGTATTTTTATTCATACGGACTCCGTAGGACAATAGAACAGCCCTGGTGAGTTTCCGAGACAGTGAATCTTTACAGGAGTAGAAAGCCTCTTTTTCCTGTTGAGCCACTGATAGTTCTGAACTGCGGCCTTGTGGTTAGCAGCTCAATGCATAGCCTCCTCTGGCAACATGGCTCTGGTTTAATCTATTCATAGCCAGCTATGTGCAACGGATCTCTGAGTAAGAGGTAATGGCTATGCATATTTCAGTAAGAAGGAGAAATCAAACATGAAAGGCAATATGCTCAAAATATCCAGTACAGACTAACTTGTAGGGGAGGCTATTGATCCGAAGGCAGGGTTACCATATGGGACAATAAACCCTGGTTCAGGCTAATATATTGTCCTTTATTTACCTGGTTGAGAGCTTTCTTATTTATTTCATAGCACAACATTTTAAAAGACACTTTTAAAGTTCTAAACCTTTTCAAAAGAAGCATATGAAATTACATACATATTTTACATTCAATTTTATAAAGTTCACAAAATTATTAAGCACTCCTGGAAAGAACTGTTTATTTCAAGATTGTCATCCATAGGGTTCTTATTGGCTGCTTTACCAGAGTAGATTGCTAGGCCTTTCTTCTTTATCCACCTTCGTCTGGAAGTGCCACTGACGTTGTTTAGCACCGTAGCAACATGCAGCATGGTTGTTGCACATGATCTGTCCTATTCAGGAAGTGGTCTCTGTGCTAGACAGGATTCTCTCAAGAAGCAACACCAATGGTGTGTTCATCTAGGCCAGCAGTTCTCAACCTGTGGATCGTGCCTTTGGGGGTCGAAGGACCCTTTCTCAGGGGTTCCCTGATGCATAACAGTAGCAAAATTACAGTTATGAAGTCGCAATGAAAATAAGTTTATGGTTGGGGGGTCACCACAACATGAGGAACTATTAAGGAGTTGTGGCATAAGGAAGGTTGAGAATCACTGATCTAGCTCTAGCTCTTTTGCTACGTATAATTCTTCACCTACTCGTACCCCTAACCCTATACCTATATCTAGATAGATAGCAAGGGACAAATGTACATCAAGACTTACAGAGTTATAGAAGTGCGCCAGCCTAGTCTGAGTTCCGACAGGCCTCGTGTCAGCTATTAAGCTGGAGATTTCTCCTAACAGGCATGGATTTGGGGGCTGATTAGTCCAGTATTGGTTGGAACACCATGGACTGGTGGCTGCAGAGAAGAATGAATCCAAGATCGGCAATTCAAATTTGTGATCAGAGAGGCAATTGAATCCATGACTGGAAGTCAGATGGCAACCTGCTGCTGGTTCCTTGGATTGGCAGGCAATATGGCAGACTATTAGCTCAAAAAGCAGAAGTTTATGAGTCAGAGATTTTCCATAGCATCCACGTATACACAAATTAGGGAACAATTGAAAGGAATTATCCTTTCAGTTGCATCAAGGTTGTGATCCTGGAAAGAGGTCGTATTTCAACCTTACTCTGAATGACTGTTCACAGCATATGCCATTATGGAATTGATTATATTGTGTCAGGTCACATGTTGGGGGCGGGGGATGGGATGAGAGTTGGGTTACTGGACTTTAACTGCCAAACCATTGAGAATCCTGGCCCAACAAAATTTATATAAGACCCAATTATCAATGTCTCCAACACAGTATGTGAGAATACTACATTGGATCAGCATTGCATCATACTTTGATTTACCGTGTAGTACTTATGTAGTACTTACTGCCTCATAGTTTCTCAAGATGGAATCTTTATGGAGGAAGATCAATAGTTGTTTTCTCCCACAGAATTGTTTGTGGGTTTGCACCACTTTACTTTAGTTAATAACCAAACACTTATACTTGTGCCATCTAGGCTCTTTAAGAGACACTTCGTTGGTTAATGATATTTTTTAATATCCAGCTTGTATTCTCTCCCTCATATTTAAATTCTCAATGCACAAACTGAAGAATCTTAACAATACCTTTAAGAAAATAAAATGCATATAGCTTTAAACTAGAAGTCTGAGTGACAACATCTCCAGGCCCTGTTTTGCTACTCTAAATCTGAGGTGCATACATGAAAAATCTCAGATGTATTTTCAGGTCATCCCCAATATATAGATATTTTAGATGTCATTTGGAAATACAAACTAATCGCTAGTTTGGATTATTCCATAAACATGTTCTACTGACCAGTGCCTGAACACCTGTTCGTACATGGAAAGTAGCATTTGTTACGTTCTTTAGGGAAGCAAACAGTGCATAGCAGCTGAGCACTTCCCCTGGCCTAACAGTTGTCCAGGCAAAATGATGACGTTTTCATGTACCTCCCACTTTGCATCATGGGTGAAGACTTAAATTGGACAGTCATAGAGCACATCATTCTCATGGATTCTAGAAAGTGGCCTTGTGGATATGAAGGACCCTTCCATGTAAGTCCTCTATAAGGTATCAGGGTTAAAGGACACACAAGGTGATAGTATGCTTCCGATGATCACGAAGGTCAAGGAGAAGTTTGTTCAGACACCTAAATATGCCAGCGTGGAAAAGATGGAGAACATTTTGCATTTTATCTAGTTTGTCTGAAGGATTACCTTCTCAGAGGCTGCGCTTTCGAGAAACGATAGCATGAACCATGAACATCTACACCTCAGTTTAAAGGTAAATGAAAATAAGCAATTAACCTTCAAAGAAAGAAATTGGTGTTTATATTATGTCAACAAGGATTCTTAAAGAAAAATATTTAATAAGCAAGCATACACTATTTATAAACCGTTTGTTTATAAATGGTTATAAATAAACCAGGGTCCACTCGGAAATGTATATGTGTGCTGGAAGAAATACAGTGAGGAGTAAGAAGTAGGGTAGGAAAGGTTTAACTGTCAGAACGATAGAATTTGAGGATATGTAAAAATTTCAAGGAAGAATGCAGTGCTTTTAAAG